AAAAAAAAAACATCGTATGGGAGGAAATCCATAAAGCCCTTAAGTGATTGCGAGTTTCGTCGAACTGTCTAGGTATATTCTGTGGTGAGGTTTTGTGTATGACTGTGGTCTGACTATAAGGAGCTAGTCGTTTGCAGGTACCTGTCTACGATTTCACCACACACAGGCGTGAAAAACAACCGAAATTAATGTACGGCGCCGATGTGCTGATATTCGAGGGCATTCTTGCCTTCCACAGTCAAAAACTGACTGATTTAATGGATATGAAAGTATGCATTATTAGCAACTCGTTTCGCTCTCCATCTGCGTTTCACTATGTCCCAAGGCAGTCTCGGATTGCAGGTATTTGTGGATACCGATCCGGACACGCGATTAGCGCGGAGGCTGGAAAGAGATATCGAAGATCGCGGGAGAGATCTCGAAGGTGTCTTAGCTCAGTACCTCCGATTTGTGAAACCGGCTTTTGACACATTTATAGCTCCAGGTATGAAAATCGCTGATATTATTGTGCCACGAGGCGGCGAGAATGAAGTTGCCATCGATCTTATTGTGAAACAGGTGAAGACGCAACTCGCTGAGCGAGGTAAGCAACACTTGACTGAACCTACTTTTGTTGCTGAAGAAATCCATAAAATTACATCACAGTCAAAACATCCTCAGTATTCACTCTCTGTAGGGAGTGGAGGCACTCGCGAAGTAGTCCGAATGGTTGAAAATGTCAGTAACCACCCCGTCTCAAGGCTGTCGGTAGTTCGCTCTTCCGATGATTGCTTACATGAAAGCAGATGGCGGGTTTGATTCTCTGACGTATGCCAGTCGAAAAAAATTTGTATTGGCACAGTCTTTTGAAAGGATTTGGAAGAATTTATCATTGAAAAATGGTTTTTTGGGGAGGACTTTTCGTACACACTGATTATATATTTTCTAGCGGTTGTTATGCAACACACTGTTTTTTGAAGGTTATGATGCATCAAAAAACCTTTATCTGCAACGGGCTGATATGGTACAAAAAGACTTGCCTCTACAGTTACCGCGAACGCTAACAATTTTGCCGCAAACACCTCAGGTTCGAGGCTTGCACACATTCATGAGAAATCGAAAAACGACAAGGTGTGTAAAAACAATTTTAAATTTATATTGTTTTTGGAGTACTGCGAAGGCAGTAGCTCCTCTTTTCACATCCGCTGCCTGGAACGGAAAACTTTTCAAAAATGCTCGAGGCAAGCTCCTGTCTGTTTTCAGAGATGAATTCATATTTTATTCTGATCGACTCATGCGAATACTAATAGAAAATGCAATGAATTCCATGCCGTTCAAAGATACTGCAGTTACAAAGCCAACTGGAGAAAGGTTTTTTTCAGCTACGATTGCTTTTTCTTTCTGAAACCGAAATTTTCGGTAAAAATTTTTTCTCCGCAGCCTTCGCTTTTCGAGAGAATATTAAACGAATTCATTTAGTTTTGTTGGTAAAGCAAAAACTTCACAAATATGTGGTGTTGCAATTATGCGAGCGGGCGAAACGATGGAGCACGCACTGAGAGCTGTTGTGAAAGACTGCAAAATGGGCAAAATTTTGATACAGACCAATGAAAAAACAATGGAACCTGAATTATTCTATTTGCGCCTTCCAAAGAACATTCACCAATACAAAGTTTTATTGATGGATGCAACTGTTGCCACAGGTTTTCTGGATTAATTTTCACACTCAGATTTCCTCGAAATTCTTCATATTTAGGATTGTTGGCATTGTTGTATGGCCTATAACGAAGTGCTATTTTGGTGCCATCGTGAGTCTTCAGAAATCCTAAATGCAAACATTCGTTTATATATTTGCTTGCCGACTTTCAACGGTTTTTAACCCTCCAGGCCATTCCGGCGAGTTTCTGTGCTCTCCCATGCACAAATAGTGTTGTCTTCCTTTGTGTTTACAGTGCTTCCTCAAGCATACTCATTTTATTCTTCCCACCAGTGACGCATCATGTTGGGAAAAAGCGGCATTGAGAAACACACCTCTTTCTGGGCAAATAATGGGTGTGGAATTCATCTGTGTGAAAGGGAAGTAATGCAAAGGGTGCTTATGAGGTGTAAAATTTTACTTAAAATTGCAAAATTTCACCACACAGGCAGAAAATAAATGTAAAAAAAATGGGAAATTGACCAAAGCTACACAAGTTTTTGCCAAAATGAAAAGCTAAGCTTAGTTAAGATAGAAAAAATTCAAATGAAAGTGGCAAATTTTATCAAGCTAGTGCCCTATTCGTCAAAAGACATTAGAAATTGCTGTAAAATTGCATTAAGAAGACAAAAAAGCGCAGTTGTAACTCAGACTTAATGCTGCAATAACTAGCTACCGGCAACCAAGTTGCTAGTGGAATTATACGTGTTTACTCCACTTATGCGGTGTTTTGATCGTTTATCAGTAAGAACATTCGCTGCTTTTGCGATCTGATATGCGAAATCAAATCGGAAATGTTCCTGTTGATCTTTTCCTCCATATTCAGAGGAGCTATCGGTTAATCTGTCAGTGTTGCGATGTAGATCTCATGCATCTTTCATTTCCATGAGAGGAAGATGCCGACAATTTTGCGAATGAAACTTTGAGATATCCGCATACAAGTCAGGGGCGTGCACGAAAGCTCATTTCACGGTTAGAGACCTGCATTTATGCAACAAGCATTCTTGTAAAAATGTATGCTCAGTTTACTTATCGAGTTGAAAGGAAGTCCACAACGTCTTAACTTAAAATTTCATTGCCGATTACGCTAGGGGACTGAATAAAAAATCTTTGAGTCGCATAAGACAAAAATTATCCTGGTAAAATTTCGTATCCTTGGGGTGAGTGGCTCTCATTGCCGTTTCTCACAAGCGTATTCGAATTTTGGTCTGCAAGCTTCCGCACGCGAATTCTAGTCGTACAAGCCGTATATGGGTCAAAGCGCCCTCGGAAATCTCAACTTTTTAGCTTCCCTGGCTGCTAAGCTGAAAATATAAAATCTGGATACAAACACATACACACACAAGCCATCAAAATGCATATTAGCATTTCATCGGTGGTGCAAAAACCCGTAAATACCGTATATGGACAGATGGGAGTAAAATAGGGAAAAACGGCAATCCGATCGATGGTCGCTAATACAGGATGTATGATAGTTTGTTGAAACATAGGTGTGCCACCGCTTTTGTTTTTCCACCATATATTACACTGGTAAAATGGAATGCAGTGTTGCTTGAGAAAAGTAGTGTGAAAAAGAACGGAGGTAACTTTTATTATGTGGGTCATTTTACAGGTGCAGCTGCAATGATGGCAATTCGTGTTTTGCTCGATCATGACGTTTTGGAAGAAAATATTTTGTTACTGTCATTGCTTATGGCAGAGACTGGTGCACATTCGCTCGCATATGCCTTCCCGAAGGTATTTGCTTGTGTGCAAGATATAAGTTTCTTTAACTCTTGGATGAATCTGTATGGTATTGGTTACAGGTAACTCTGTTGACAACCGCAGTTGACTCACATATCAGTGAACTTTTTTATGTCATTCCTGGGATGGGCAATTTTGGCGATCGCTATTATGGTACGGAAAATGCAGCGACGTATGAAGAGTTTTCCGATGAAAAATGAAACGTAGACTGTGAAAGGCCTGTAGACTCTTTGTAAATCCGTTGTGAAAGGGAACTGCTGTTTGGGACAAACTTTCATGTTTTACTTGAAAGTAGTGCCGTTGTTTGTAATAGACTTTTTCTTGCAAAGAAATTAATAATTTATTAATTGTTCTTCGTTAAAAGCTGTTGTTGCCTCCAAGGCTGGCTAGTTTTGCACTTGGTGCATTTTGAACATCTAATGTTACCGTGGTCACTAAACATTTATTGTTTTTATTGGTCATCAGATTTTTAAGAAAACTGTCTAATACATTTTTATGAAATCTTCGCTGCCTTTGATTCCTTCCCAGTAAAGTGAAGCTTGCTCCACTGGACATCTGAAATTGCATGTAAAAGACTTTCTATTGAAACGGGAAACATGGTGCGGTGCGCAAATAGCTGCAGTGGCTGATAATGCAGCTGCAGCTCATCTGAGGGTATAGATACTTGAGGATGTGCTTTATGCTCGACGACTCACCTTCGCATTGATTTGTGGAGTCCAGAGGTTTTTGGCACTAAAATTTATGACACAATGTGGATGTGTTACTGAGCTTTTCTGTGAAATGCTTTTGGCTTATCGGGATTGCAGCAAGACTTACACAGAGTAAACTTCAAGTGTATGCAGCAGTGGACTGCCTGTCTTTTCAGTGTGGGGATCCCGTCAGTGGAATTGGGTAGTAACTGTTTTTATAAGCCAAAGAATGAAGCTGCTTACTGAATTTCACCTACTCCACAAGAATAAGTATCGTTTAGTTTTGCTGACGAGCTGTAGGAACCTGCAAGATTACATGTGCTTGTTTAGATTTTAAAATGTATGAGCATTTGAGGATTTCTAATCACATTTTTATGCGTTTTTGCTGTGCTATGAAAAAAGAGTAAGACAAAATTAAGGAAAACTGTGAAACACACAGGAATGCGATTGGCATTCCTGAGTCATAGGGTAAAAAAAGGAAAAAAAAAGAAATTATATAATTTTATAATTAGAACTGTACATATTTTACATCTCCCCCTTCCGGAGGAGACCGTCCCTTGTCTCACAAAATCAAGTATATATAGCAAGGATTTCGTCCTTGCGCTTGCACAATGCAAGACTTGGGGTGAAATGCGGTGATGACCGAGTGCAATATTATGTTTTGTTCTCGTATCAGTAAATTATAATATAAATTTATTTTGAGATTGTGGGAATGAATTTATAGAAAAGGTATTAAAAAAAGAGGAGGGAGGAAAAGAAAAAAAAAGGAGGGGAAAAGAAATAAAATGACCCAGTAAGTAGGTAAGAGGAAAAGGAGGGGGAGGGGGTGTAAACGTTGTCAGAACCCAGGCACCGATGTATACCAAATTAAATGCAGAAGAAGGCTAGTTAAGCAAATAGCACAATCAAAAGGCACGGGTTACACAAAGCAATTATAATCGAATTTTATGAATAAATAAAAAATAACTGGCAAACCCATGTTTAAAAAAAAAACACAATATAATAGAACACAATAACTCGTTGACAGGATATTGGCGGACGCAGTCGGGTAATTGTGATATGTCGCACGGAGTTTTGTCGATAATGCCGGACTGTCGACGCGGTCCCATGATTGGCCTTAAGAGGTGAAACAACCTGGAAATAGATAGCAAGACCTCGTAACCCAATAAACACAGAAAAGCTAAATATCGCTAGCACTTTTTATGCGTTTTTGCTGTGCAGCGCTATAGCACCGCTATAGCGCAGCTACAGCCAGCAAAAACGCATATTGTCGAGAGGCTGTCTGTGTGTGTGTGTGT